GAAAAAATGTGAGTGAAAATTATTACCAGGATTTTTCTAGTAAATCAAGATCGTTTTTTCAGTGTCTCTGCTCTTCTTCTTCTTCTTCTTCTTCTTCTTCTTCTTCTTCTTCTTCTTCTTCTTCTCCCTTCTTCTCCTCCTCACGTCGTCTCGTTGTCTTCAGGTTCTTCAGCAGGAGGAGCAGGTGGACCAGGTGTTCCTCAGCTCTCAGACGGAGGTGTGGATTCCCTCGTCCTCGTCGGGTCCGAGGCCTCGTCGGCTCCGGCAGCGCTGGGCGGAGGCCGTGGGGGAGATGGCCGACTCCTCGCTCCCCCTCAAAACCCAGTTCTCGGCCGGGTTCTTGGACCGTTTCTTGGACCAGATCAAGACCAGAGTCGTGGAGGACCTGAGCGCCGCCAAGAAGAACGTGGTCTCCATCTACCCGCCGGAATATCAACCGTTTCAGGTACGACTCGAGAGTCAGATTTATGCTTCAGATCTTGAACTCCTGGAAATCTCCACATGAAACAAAAACTGACATGAAGTTCATCCTCTTCTCTGACCTCATCAAACACAAACCTACACAAAAACTGTTTGTGCTGCTTTAGTTCTGGAGACATTATTGATTCTTTTACAGATCAGATTGTGGTCACCAGATCCAAGAAACGTCAAAATGAAATAAAACAACACAAAATAGAGCCATTTGTGCTTCAAAAAGTTCAGTTTGTGTGATTCTGGTTCTTAAGAACACATCCATCCATCTGTTTTCTTCGGGGGCATCAGTCTGAACAGAGACTCCCAGACTTCCTCCTCCCCAGACACTTCCTCCAGGTCCTCCAGTGGACCTGAGGTGTTCCCAGTCCAGTCAGAGACATGGTCCCTCCAGTGTGTCCTGGGTCTTCTCCTCCCGGTGGGACATGAACACCTCCTGAGGGACACGTCCAGGAGACGTCAGAACAGACGTCCTCCCCTCAGATGCTCCTCTCCACGTGGAGGAGCAGCGGCTCTACTCCGAGCTCCTCACTCTGTCTCTAAAGCCTTAGTCACAATAACCCACAAGGACGATTCACCTGCTCAGGTGCTGATGTTTCTTGGCCTGTGAGGTTCTGTAGAGGAGACAGAGTTTTCTAAGTTCTTCATAAGGTTGGTACAAGTGCAGCTTGTGGGTCCTGTGAGACTTGTACAGGACCTGCGAGTGTTGTGCAGGTCTTAAGACTGTCGTGACTAGGGATGGGCATGATTAATCGATTCATCGATAATTGATCATTAAGAATTTCATCTATTCCGTTCATTTTAATGGACAAACTGAATGTATGTTTGTGTGTCGTGACCAAACAGGTGTGTACATGTGTCTCTGCATCAGAAGGAGCGAGACACAAACAGTGGGTCAGTCTGTAACGAACCGAAGCACAAATGTGGATTTAACCAGGATTTGTAGAAGAAATTCCACACTTTCCGTTGCGTTGGGACAAGTGTGAGTCCATGTGCACAGTGGATAAAGCAGCACATATGTTTCTGTGTCCAGTGGGAAAAAGTTTTTCCAGGTGAGAGTCGCTCAATGTGGATGACGAGGCCCCGCCCCCCTCCCCCCGTACGCTGTCCTGGTTTGACAAACACAAATCTGGTCACACTGACCTGTATTCACCTGAGTCATGTCTTTTAATCCAACACAAGTTGAACCACATCAGCGACACAAGAGCTGGAGTTTTATCTTCACTTAGTTTATGTAAATTAGTGATGTGGTTTTAAGTTTTGTTTGTGTGAGATTTGAACAAAACTGAATTAAACACATTATAATGTCAAACAGCTGATGTGGATCTAGAGTCGTTATGTTTATATGTCGTAAAGTTGAATTTATTGATGCAGATTAGTGCAGATAGTAATAATAATGATGATCATTTTAATAGAAAAACGTTAATGATTAATCGATAATCGATCATTAATTCTTCCAATGATCGATTAAGAGAATTTCATCAAATGCCCGTCCCTAGTCATGAGGCAATAGTACATCAAACTTAAAGGTTGTATAGAGGATTTGTTAAGGGAAGAGAAACACAGCGACACTTCTTTTTCAAATGTGCCTGTGTGACTCCACCTTCCTCCTCCACAGCCTCAGTAGAAACACCTCCTCCTCCCGCCTTCTTACTCTAGAACATTCTTGTTTACAGCTAGAGTTTGTTCAGAATCACTGTTGAAGTGACCGTCTAGAAATAATTTAGAGACCGACACCTCAGTCTTTAGACCCTTCGTCTGCTTCATTCGCACCATCGCTGGAAGGAATCTCCAAGAATCACCCAGTTTGTTTTCGCTCCTTTTCTCCTTCTCTTCTTCTTTCAGTTCGTTTCCTCAAAAACCGACTTTCTTTTGCGGCGAACTGGTCGTGGATTCTCGTCCGCCGTCGCAACAAACTTTGTGTGAACTGCGAGGAAGCTACAATTAGAAAAAGCCTCTAAGAACCACTGCATAAACCACGTAATCCCAGCGCACCGGCGAGGCAGTTACACTAGAAACGTAGGGAGTTTGATTGACGACCCAACAGCCAATAGATAATGAGGCAGCCTTGTTGTCTATTGGCTGATGTTTATCTGGCCTCACTACATCCACAGTTCATAGATTTTCATTTTATTTATTTTTTTGGTCATCATAATTACAAAGCTGCTGCGTCTGTGTAATGGTATTTTAAACTTTAATTGACAATTTGAAACAAAACAAAAAATCCTCCATACGACCTTTAAGAGCCACGCAAGGGTCACGTACGAGTCAAAATCTCGTACGGGCCACTTGCAACGCACTCGAGTCGTTTGTACGAAGCAAGTACAAGTCTCTAACGCGGCCCGTGCAACCGTCTTACGACATGTGGCTCTTATCGGCTCTTATAATACTTCTAATAATACTTCTAATAATACTTCTAATAATACTTCTAATAATACTTCTAATAATACTTCTAATACTGGGCTCATCCATCGTTCGACTGGACGACTCTGAGTTACAACTAGAGTGAAGCTGAACATCCCTCCATTCCGACACAGCTTTGTTCTGACGGCAGACGGTCTTTGTGTCCCGGTGCGGCTCTAGTGCAGAACGCGGCTCATTGGCTCTGTTCTTATTTATTTGTTTATTTGAGACGGGGACAGTGCGCAATTTTCGCATTAACCTCGACAGGAGAGATGCACTGTACATCAGGTTGTAGCATCAGGGCTAATTTCCACCTGTCGTCCCTGGGCAGATTCATTGATTGATTGTATTTAACTGACCTTGTCTACGTTCAGTCTGCAGGTTTAACGCTCAACTACGATTTTTTTGTGAAATCCGATGTTTTTTCGAGGTGGTTCACATTTCCAGTTAAATGTGACTTGTATGTGACTCCAGTGTGAACATTAAACGGTCCAAAAGTGTCCCACATGTGACACTGGAGACACGACGACGTCAACCGCAGCGAGCGTCTCTGTGTTTACACAAGTTGAACAAACATGGACGCAGCATCGAGCACCTGGAGATTTTAAAGTTCCTCTCGTACCGGAGCCACAACATGAACAACTGACTTGTTTTAAGGAGGAGATTGAGAAGGAGAAGGAGCAGGTTTTTGGTGGTGGTGTTTTGTGGTGAGTGGAGATGTGCTTCACTTCAGTCACATGGATCATGAACAGTTTTCTCTACTTCAGTGCAGAATAGTGACGTTTGTGTCTTGTTGATGACGTGTAGGTGGATGAATGTGACCTGACTGTTCACACTCAAGTCACATGTTAAAGATCAGATATGGATCAGTTTCAGGAGCACAGATCCAAGTGTCCTGGGTCATGTTTGAAAACATCAGATCTGTGCCGTTCAGACGTCATTAAAAGATCAGATACAGGAACATAGGGGCCAAAAAATTGGATTTGGGTCACTTCAGGTGCAGTGTGAACGCAGCCCTTGACTATCAACTGTTCTGGACCTGGAGCAGGTTTTGGGTTGATGGGGGAAACCGGAGCCCAGAGGAAACTCATCCAGACACGGGGAGAAACCTGCAAACTCCACACAGAAAGGCCCTGGGCGACCCTGGATCGAACCCAGAACCTTCTTGCTGTGAGGCATGAGTGCTAGCCACTCAGCCACTGTATGTGTTCTGTATGTGTCTGGTGCCGTTAGAGCTTTACACACGCTGCTCTGTCGGCACGAGATCGGGCACATACACCTGACCTCCTGCAGGTGAGGGCGCGGTGGAGGAGAAGCAGCCGCCTCTTTATAAACTGGGCTACAAGGGACAGATGCATGACCTCTGTGTGACCTCTGTGTGACCTCTGTGTGACCTCTGTGTGACCTCTGTGTGACCTCTGTGTGACCTCTGCCCTCAGGTGTATTCTCAGAGTTACCACACGGCGGTGACAAAAAGACTGAGCTCCATCACAGAGACACAACTGCAGACCACAGACGTCTACTCCCTCCTGGACTGGGTCTACAACATCTACAACAGGTACAAATACTACAAATACTACTACAAATACTACTACTACTACATCTACTCCCTCCTGGACTGGGTCTACAACATCTACAACAGGTACAAATACTACAAATACTACTACAAATACTACTACTACTACATCTACTATTTATTCAGTCCATCATTTATTTGTTTGTTTATTTATTTATGTATTTATTTATGCATTTATTTATTTGCTTGTTTATTTATTTATTCAGTCTGTCCGTCATTTACTTATTTATTTGTTTATTTAATTATTTATTCAGTCATTTATTTATTTGTTTATTTATGTATTTATTTATTTATGCATTTATTTATTTATGTGTTTGTTTTTTTATTTATGTATTTATTTATTTATTTGTTTATTTATTTATTCAGTCAGTCATTTATTTGTTCTTCTCATGTTCTCGTTCATGTTCTTGTTGTTGCAGAGATGTTCTTGCTCCGTTCTCCTGCTCGGGTTTGTCTCCTCTGCTCAACTCAGACACTGTGGACCGACTGGAGCTGGACTGTCTCAACTCTGTGCGGGTGAGACTGAACCTCTGACCCTCTGACCCGGGGTTTGGACCACACTTTGAGGTCTAAGGACTGGACTCTGGTCCGGTCTCTGGTCCGGTCTCTGGTCCGGTCTCTGGTCCGGTCTCTGGTCCGGTCTCTGGTCTGGTCCGGTCTCTGGTCCGGTCTCTGGTCTGGTCTCTGGTCTCTGGTCCGGTCTCTGGTCCGGTCTCTGGTCTGGTCTGGTCCGGTCTCTGGTCCGGGGTCTGGTCTCTCTGGTCCGGTCTCTGTCCGGTCTCTGGTCCGGTCTCTGGTCTGGTCTGGTCTCTGGTCTGGTCTGGTCTCTGGTCCGGTCTCTGGTCCGGTCTCTGGTCTGGTCTCTGGTCTGGTCTCTGGTCCGGTCTCTGTCCGGTCTCTGGTCTCTGGTGGTCTCGGTGGTCTGGTCTCTGGGTCTCTGGTCTCTGGTCCGGTCTGGTCTCTGTCTCTGGTCTGGTCTCTGGTCTCTGGTCTCTGGTCCGGTCTCTGGTCTCTGGTCTCTGGTCCTGGTCCGGTCTGGTCTGGTCTCTGGTCTGGTCTCTGGTCTCTGGTCTGGTCCGGTCTCTGGTCCGGTCTCTGGTCTGGTCGGTCTCTGGTCTGGTCTCTGGTCTCTGGTCTGGGTCTGGTCCGGTCTCTGGTCCTGGTCTCTCTGGTCTGGTCTCTGGTCTCGGTCTCTGGTCTCTGGTCTGGTCTGGTCTGGTCTGTCTGTCTGGTCTCTGGTCCGGTCTCTGGTCTGGTCTCTGGTCCGGTCTCTGGTCCGGTCTCTGGTCTGGTCTCTGGTCTGGTCTGGTCTCTGGTCTGGTCTGGTCTGGTCTCTGGTCTCTGGTCTGGTCTCTCTGGTCCGGTCTCTGGTCTGGACTCTGGTCTGGTCTCTGGTCTTGTCTCTGGTCTTGTCTCTGGTCCGGTCTCTGGTCCGGTCTCTGGTCCGGTCTCTGGTCCGGTCTCTGGTCTGGTCTCTGGTCTAACTGTGTGTTTGTGTTTTTTGGTCCAGGCCAAAGTGACGACGGAGCTGGTCCAGGTCCTGGAGGAAGAAGAGAAGAGATGGATGGAAACTCTGCACATCGAAGAATATAACCTGCCCCTGGTCAACACCGTCATCCAGGTACTGAACCAGGACCAAACCAGGACTGAACCAGGTCTAGACCAGGACTAAACCCGGTGTGTCTTCGTGTTCTCAGAGACTGGAGGTGGACCTGGAGCGTTCGGCTTCTGTGAACCAGACTCTGGGGTCCAGAGTGGCTCAGTGCAGTCTGAACGGACTCGCAGACTTTTTCTACAGGTAAAGATTTTCATCAGCGACGATTCAAGACAAACACGTAAACAATTCTGCCACAAGAACCGAAAGAACCGAAAGAACCGAAAAGAACCGAAAAGAACCGAAACATGTGACACAGATAAATGTTCAGGTCGTATTCAACGTCTGGAGACTCAGTTAAACCTGCAGTTTCACTTCAGTGTCTGAGGTCCCCAGTATTACTCTGTACTCTGTACTGTGTGTAATCAGATTACTTTTTAGTAATATAAGTCACAATTGAAAATGGTCTCATCAGATTACACTTATTTACTTTAACCATAATTTACACCAGGAGCATCAGCGACACGTAACGTCGGCAAAATGTTTCTTGAGCTCTTTATGTTTTTTTAAAGGAACTCAGAGTAATCCATAATAATATAAAGTAATCTGAGTAATTTGTTTATGTTTTAGACAGAGTACTTTTGCCTTAAGTAATCTGACCAACACTGTCTATAACTTTTATGTAAAAAAGTGGTCCAGACCTGGTCCAGTCCTGGTCCAGTCCTGGTCCAGTCCTGGTCCTGGTTCAGTCCTGGTTCAGTCCTGGTTCCTGGTCCAGTCCTGGTCCATCCTGGTTCAGTCCTGGTTCAGTCCTGGTCCAGTCCTGGTTCAGTCCTGGTCCAGTCCTGTTTTTTTTCTTGTAGTTTCCAGCGTAAAGTGGAGTTGTTCCACGAGGGTCTTCAGGGTGGGATGTACGGAGACAACGAGGACGGATACGTGTCCAAGACCATCGCCCTGGTCAACTGCTGCCCCCCCTTCAGGTCAGACCAGGTTTACACCAGAGTACTACTGTACTCTACTTTATGTTCTGTGTTGTGTTCAGGTGCAGTAGTATTTCTGTGTTGTGTTCAGGTGCAGTAGTATATTTGTGTTGTGTTCAGGTGCAGTAGTAGTATTTCTGTTGTGTTCAGGTGCAGTAGTATATTTGTGTTGTGTTCAGGTGCAGTAGTATATTTGTGTTGTGTTCAGGTGCAGTAGTATTTCTGTGTTGTGTTCAGGTGCAGTAGTATATTTGTGTTGTGTTCAGGTGCAGTAGTATATTTGTGTTGTGTTCAGGTGCAGTAGTATATTTGTGTTGTGTTCAGGTGCAGTAGTATATTTGTGTTGTGTTCAGGTGCAGTAGTATTTTGTGTTGTGTTCAGGTGCAGTAGTATATTTGTGTTGTGTTGTGTTCAGGTGCAGTAGTATATTTGTGTTGTGTTGTGTTCAGGTGCAGTAGTATATTTGTGTTGTGTTGTGTTCAGGTGCAGTAGTATATTTGTGTTGTGTTCAGGTGCAGTAGTATTTCTGTGTTTGTGTTCAGGTGCAGTAGTATATTTGTTGTGTTCAGGTGCAGTAGTATATTTGTGTTGTGTTCAGGTGCAGTAGTATATTTGTGTTGTGTTGTGTTCAGGTGCAGTAGTATATTTGTGTTGTGTTCAGGTGCAGTAGTATTTTGTGTGTTGTGTTCAGGTGCAGTAGTATATTTGTGTTGTGTTCAGGTGCAGTAGTATATTTGTGTTGTGTTCAGGTGCAGTAGTATATTTGTGTTGTGTTGTGTTCAGGTGCAGTAGTATATTTGTGTTGTGTTGTGTTCAGGTGCAGTAGTATATTTGTGTTGTGTTGTGTTCAGGTGCAGTAGTATATTTGTGTTGTGTTCAGGTGCAGTAGTAGTATTATTGTTGTTGTGTTCAGGTGCAGTAGTATATTAGTGCAGTTATATTTGTGTTGTGTTCAGGTGCAGTAGTATATTTTGTGTTTCAGTGCAGTAGTATATTTGTGTTGTGTTGTGTCAGGTGCAGTAGTGTGTCAGTGCAGTAGTATATTGTGTTGTGTTGTGTTCAGGTGCAGTAGTATATTTGTTGTTTGTGTTCAGGTGCAGTAGTATATTTGTGTGTGTTCAGTGTAGTATATTGTGTTGTTTGTGTTCAGGTGCAGTAGTATATTTGTGTTGTGTTGTTTTCAGGTGCAGTAGTATATTTGTGTTTGTGTTTCAGGTGCAGTATATATTTGTGTTGTGTTGTGTTCAGGTAGTAGTATTGTGTTGTGTTCAGTAGTAGTATTTTTGTGTTGTGTTGTGTTAGGTGCAGTAGTTATTTTGTTTGTGTTGGTTCAGGTGCAGTAGTATATTTTGTGTGTGTTGTCAGTAGTCAGGTGCAGTAGTATGTTGTGTGTGTTCAGGTGCAGTAGTATATTGTGTTGTGTTGTGTTCAGGTGCAGTAGTATATTTGTGTTGTGTTCAGGTGGCAGTAGTTATATTTGTGTTGTGTTCAGGTGCAGTAGTATATTTGTGTTGTGTTCAGGTGCAGTAGTATATTTGTGTTGTGTTCAGGTGCAGTAGTATATTTGTGTTGTGTTGTGTTCAGGTGCAGTAGTATATTTGTGTTGTGTTCAGGTGCAGTAGTATATTTGTGTTGTGTTGTGTTCAGGTGCAGTAGTATATTTGTGTTGTGTTGTGTTCAGGTGCAGTAGTATATTGTGTTGTGTTGTGTTCAGGTGCAGTAGTATATTTGTGTTGTGTTCAGGTGCAGTAGTATATTTGTGTTGTGTTCAGGTGCAGTAGTATATTGTGTTGTTTGTGTTCAGGTGCAGTAGTAGAGTATTTGTGTTGTGTTGTGTTCAGGTGCAGTAGTATATTTGTTGTGTGTGTTCAGGTGCAGAGTGTGTGTTGTGTTGTGTTCAGGTGCAGCATAGTAGTATGTGTTTGTGTGTGTCAGTCCAGGTGCAGTAGTATATTTGTGTTGTGTTCAGGTCAGTAGTAGTAGTATATTGTGTTTCAGGTCCAGTACTGTGTTGTGTTGGTGAAGGTGCCAGTAGTATGTAGGTCAAGTGAGAGTAGTGTGTTGTGTCCTCAGTCAGTAGTATACAGTTGGTGTTGTGTTCAGGACAGGTGCAGTCGCCTGCAGTAGTATATTTGTGTTGTGTTCCAGTGTATATTTGTTGCAGTAGTATATTTGTGTTGTGTCAGTCAGTAGTATATTTGTGTTGTGTTCAGTCTCTGTTGTGTTCAGGTTCAGTAGTATATTTGTGTTGTGTTCAGGACCTTCTCTGAGCGCTGTGCTCAGTCGGATCCTCTCCAGTCGGACGAGTCTCTGCGTCGAGCGTCTCGAGCTCTCGACGCCGTCGTCCAGAGCGGCGTCCGAGTCCTGTCAGAGAGACTCAACCACAGCATCAAGGTGAGACCCAGTCCTGGTTTAGTCCTGGTTTAGTCCTGGTTTAGTAGTCCTGGTTTTGGGTTTAGCCTGGTTTAGTCCCGGTTTAGACCTGGTTTAGTCTGGTTTAGTCTGGTTTAGACCTGTTTAGTCCTGGTTTAGTTGGTTTAGTCCTGGTTTAGACTTGGTTTAGTCTGGTTTAGTCCTGGTTTAGTTGGTTTAGACTGGTTTAGTCCTGGTTTAGTCCTGGTTTAGTCCTGGTTTAGACTGGTCCTGGTTTAGACCTGGTTTAGTCCTGGTTTAGACTGGTTTAGTCCTGGTTTTAGTCCTGGTTTAGTCCTGGTTTAGTCCTTTGGTTTAGTCCTGGTTTAGCCTGGTTTAGTCCTGGTTTAGACCTGGTTTAGTCCTGGTTTAGTCCTGGTTTAGTCCTGGTTTAGTCCTGGTTTAGACCTGGTTTAGTCCTGGTTTAGTCCTGGTTTAGTCTGGTTTAAGTCTGTTTAGACCTGGTTTAGTCCTGGTTTAGACCTGGTTTAGTCCTGGTTTAGTCCTGGTTGGTTTAGACCTTTAGTCCTGGTTTAGACCTGGTTTAGTCCTGGTTTAGTCCTGGTTTAGACCTGGTTTAGACCTGGTTTAGACTGGTTTAGACCCTGGTTTAGTCCTGGTTTAGTCCTGTTTAGTCCTGGTTTTTAGTCCTGGTTTAGTCCTGGTTTAGTCCCTGGTTTAGTCTGGTTTAGTCCTGGTTTAGTCCTGGTTTAGTCCTGGTTTTAGTCCTGGTTTAGACCTGGTTTAGTCCTGGTTTAGTCCTGGTTTAGTCCTGGTTTAGACCTAGTCTGGTTTAGTCCTGGTTTAGACCTGGTTTAGTCCGGTTTACCTGGTTTTAGTCCCTGGTTTTAGTCCTGGTTTAGTCCTGGTTTAGTCCTGGTTTAGACCTGGTTTAGTCCTGGTTTAGTCTGTGGTTTTAGTTGGTTCCTGGTTTAGTCCTGGTTTAGTCCTGGTTTAGACTGGTTTAGGTTTAGTCCTGGTTTAGACCTGGTTTAGTCTTGGTTTAGACCTGGTTTAGACCTGGTTTAGTCCTGGTTTAGTCTGGTTTAGTCCTGGTTTAGTCCTGTTGTTTAGACCTGGTTTAGTCCTGGTTTAGTCCTGGTTTAGACCTGGTTTAGACCTGGTTTAGTCCTGGGTTAGTCCTGGTTTAGTCCTGGTTTAGTCCTGGTTTTAGTCTGGTTTAGACCTGGTTTAGTCCTGGTTTAGTCCTGGTTTAGTCCTGGTCTGGTTTAGTCCTGGTTTAGTCGCTGGTTAGTCCTGGTTTGTCCTGGTTAGTCCTGGTTTAGACCTGGTTTAGTCCTGGTTTAGACCAGTCCCTTTTAGTCCTGGTTTAGTCCTGGTTTAGACTGTTTAGTCCTGGTTAGTCCTGGTTTAGAGTCCTGGTTTAGTCCTGGTTTAGTCCTGGTTTAGTGGTTTAGTCCTGGTTTAGACTGGTTTAGTCTGGTTTAGTCCTGTTTGGTTTAGTCCTGGTTTAGACCTGGTTTAGTCCTGGTTTAGTCCTGGTTTAGACCTGGTTTAGTCCTGGTTTTAGTGGTCCCTGGTTTAGTCCTGGTTTTAGTCCTGGTTTAGACCTGGTTTAGTCCTGGTTTAGTCCTGGTTTAGTGGGTTTAGACCCTGGTTTAGACCTGGTTTAGACCTGGTAGTCCTGGTTTAGACCTCCTGGTTTACCTGGTTTAGTCCTGGTTTAGTCCTGGTTTAGACTATGTTTAGTCCTGGTTTAGACCTGGTTTAGTCCTGGTTTAGTCCTGGTTTAGACCTGGTTTAGTCCTGGTTTAGTCTGGTTAGTCCTGGTTTAGTCCTGTTTACCTGGTTAGTCCTGGTTTAGTCCTGGTTTAGACTGGTTTAGTGGTTTAGTCTCGTTTAGTCCTGTTTAGTCCTGGTTTAGTCCTGGTTTCCTGGTTTAGTCCTGGTTTTAGTCCTGGTTTAGACCTGGTTTAGAGTTTAGTCAGTCCTGGTTTAGTCCCCTGGTTTTAGTCCTGGTTTAGTCCTGGTTTAAAATGCAGCTTTAAAATGGAATAATGAAATAAAAGTTTCAGAGCTGTTACATTCGGTTTGTCTCCTGGGTCTTGGTCTTCCTGTCTGGTCTGGTCCTGGTCCTGGTCCTGGTCTGGTGGTCCTGGTCTGGTGGTCTGGTCTGGTCCTGGTCTGGTCTTGGTCTGGTCTGGTCCTGGTCTGGTGGTCTTGGTCTAGGTCCTGGTCTGGTGGTCCTGGTCCGGTCCTGGTCCTGGTCTGGTCCGGTCCTGGTCCTGGTCCTGGTCCTGGTCTTCCTTCTTGGGTCCTGGTCCTGTCCTGGTCCTGTCTGGTCTTGGTCCTTGGTCTTGGTCTTGGTCCTGGTCTTGGTCCTGGTCCTGGTCTTGGTCTGGTCTGGTCTTGTCTTGGTCTTGGTTTGGTCTTGGTCTGGTCTGGTTGGTTGGTCCTGGTGTCTGTCTTGGTCTGGTGGTCGCTGGGTCTGGTCTTGGTCTTGGTCTTGGTCTGGTGGTCTGGTCCTTGGTCCTGGTCCTGGTCTGGGCGTCGACTGATGATGGAGCAGAGTTTCTCAGTTGTGAAATCGTAACAACATTAGGAGGTTTTGTTTTTCTTTTTCTTCGTTTGACAAACGGCTGAACTGAACTGAACTGAACTGGACTGGACCTGGACCTGGACCTGACTGGACCTGAAACTGAACTGGACCTGGACCTGGACCTGGACCTGAAACTGAACTGACCTGGACCTGGACCTGAAACTGGATCAAGTCTGAAAATGATGAAACTTCTGACCTGAGATCAGCTCCTCTGGGTTTTACACAACAGCTCTGTCACAATAATCATGTTCTCTACAGGCGGAACAGGGTCAGACCGAGTCCGGACCGAGTCCAGGAGTCCGACCAGAGTCCGGATCGGGTTTAGACCTGAGAGAGTTTTAGTCCGGTCCCTGGTTTTAGTCTGGGGGTTTAGTCTGGTTTAGTCTGGTTCAGTCTGGTTAGTTGGTTTTAGTCCTGGTTCAGTCCTGGTTCAGTCCTGGTTTAGTCCTGGTTCAGTCCTGGTTCAGTCCTGGTTTAGTCCTGTTTAGTCCTGGTTTAGTCCTG